GGAGTTCCGGCTGGCTTCAGAGTTGGCCACGCCCACTACAGCCAAAACCTCTGCGTGCCTGGCTACAGAAGGAAGGCCTGGAGAGCGACACACACACCCTGGCGACTCCGAGACGGGTGAACTGGGGGGGGCGGACTGGAAGGATCGGGGAGGCATTTAAATGCCTCCCCATGCCTTCCCTAGCCTGTCCAAGGGCCGGCTTGCCTGGGCGCTCCACAGCTGCAGGGCGCCCGGGCAAGCCAAGGGAAGGCATGGGGGTATGGCCTAGTAGTAGTAGTAGTAGAATTTATTACGGTTGCTAGACCAGCCACACACATATATATATATATATATGGGGTGTGGCCTAATATGCTAATGCACTGCACTGACAGGGGTATGGTCTAATATGCTAATAGGTTCATGCTGTTGGGTGTGACCTATTATGCTAATGAGTTCCTGCTGGGTTTTTTCTACCAAAAAAAGCCCTGTGTGAGCCCACTGTTAACTACGACTGAAGAAGACCACAGACCACACGAGTTGTTTCTTGCGGGAGGGAAAAGCTCTGCACCGGGGGAAAGTGCTGCTGTTAGCAGAATGGATCGCTATGATTCAATCATTTATACGTGCCACTTGGCCTTCATTCATCCCGGCTGATCCAAAACATACCGTTTAACAGCAATATAGAACCAACATTATTTGGATTGTGGGAAGCATTTCCCACCCCCCCTTGCTATTTTTGTGCTGTCTGTATGAGAAGGGAGAGGACCTTCGAGAGACACTGCCGAATTGATCCAGGCTCTCTTAAACAAGCATTATCCCCACGTCAGTCTTTGAAATTCAGCTTGCGAGACATTTTTATTGATTTACATTCATTGGCTTCATGGCCCTCTGTGGACGGAACGTTTCAAAGCACTTTGTGTCAATTCACCGATTGATGCATTTAGACGGAAATGCATACATTTAACTAAATTGGTCACCTCAAGCAGATCCATCAGGGCAAGCAAGGCTTTCTTAGTAAAAACTAAAAGAGTCGACTCCCTTTCCTTTGCAGTCTCTCCCAAACCACTGGCTGCACGTCCCTCAGGGTGGGCCTTATTTGCTCATGTTACGTTCTCAAAAGTGCCAGGTACCCTGGGAGTACAACATCAACGAACTACCATCAGGTAAGACTGGCAGGCCATTCTTCCAGTTTCCTAATGAACAAAAAAAAAAAATAGCACTTAACCTTTGCTCACCTCTATTAAATTCATAAGGTGCAGGAAAAACTCCTGTGCGTCTTGTTGCCGACTGGAAGAGAATTCTGGGTGCCCTTTGCTTACAAAAGCTTTGAACATGCGCGGGGAAATGCCGTTGTGCTGAGGCTGGAAAGAGAAGGAAAACACAATGTGCCCAGGGGCCCCCGTAATGCATGTGCTATCTAAGGAGGGCAGAACTGTAAAATATGTGCTGTGCCATAGTTACAAACTTCATGCGATACTTTCATGTTCTCTGCAAGAACCAGGATTCACTGCTGCAGCAAGTGGTGGCAGCTACAAGCATGGATGGCTTCAAGAGGAGACTGGATAAACATATGGAGCAGATTAGCCACAAAGTATAGTTGGAACACTGTGTCTAGGGCAATGATGCGCTGTATTCTTGGTGCTTTGGGGGGCAACAGTGGTAGGGCTTCTGGAATTCTGGCCCCCACTGGTGGACCTCTTGACGGCACCTGGGTTTTGGCCACCGTGTGACACAGAGTGTTGGACTGGAAGGGCCACTGGCCTGATCCAACATGGTTTCTCTTATGTTCTTAACCAGGAATTCCAAGCTGTTTCAGCCATATTTCCTGATCATTTTGAGCTATTCCACGGCTGACTGGGACCCATTAGAGGCAGCAAACCTTTTAAAACCACAAGGCAAATGGCATTTTTACACGGGTGCCCACACAAAACGTTGGCTTTGTGAGTGACGAATGCAAATTTGCAAACCAATGAAGAACCGCTGAGGTGGGCCAGGGCTCCTTGCTGCATTGCATACAACATGTGTTTGCCCCAGTGATTTTCAAAATGGTCTAATAGCCCAAGAAAAAAGATCAGTGTCAAGAGCCCCAATCTTACTGGCGATTCTTAGAGCCCCGATCTTACTGGCAATTCACCCAGAGGTCTGAAACTGGAAGTAGGCCCAAAAATAGTCTGGGACGGGAGTCCCCAAACTTTTTGAGCCTGCAGGTGCCTTTAGAACTCTGACACAGGGCGGTGGGCACAATAACAAAACAGCTGCCACAAGAGGTGGCACCAATCACAACATGGCTGCCTCAGGAGGTGGAGCCAACCATAAAACGTCAGGGAGCAAGGTTACGTATAACCCTAATAGTAACTCTTCCACAGAAGCTGTGTATAGCAGGATACTTTTCAAACTTCACAGCCAATCAGAAGCCTTGCTGAGCACACAGCCCACCTAGCCCAGCCCACTTTGCGGGCACCAGGAAAGCTTATGGTGGGCACCGTGGCACACTAGTCTAGGACAACGGGAAATCTAAACTGTCGGCATTCAGATAGTTTCTCTCTCTTTTGGAATGGAGCACTAGTTTTGGTTTAAACAGCAGTCTACAATTATAGTCAGAAAGAGTGATGAAGAATTCTCCCAACCCTTTAAAAATGTATTTGATCATAATCCATTTAAAGCAAAGCAATTATGGATTTCTGTCAGAAACAACCCTGCTGCTGAAATCCAATTATTTTAAAAGTGGTGGGATTGGAGCAGGCCCTCCCTTACTGTTGCCAGCTTCCAAAGGCTGTTGTGAGCGCCAAACCTTTAAAAACGGGGAGAGGAGCATTAGCAATGTCAGTCCCATCTACACTACCAACTTTTATACCAGCTTTAATGATCATGGGTTCCCTTCAAAGAGTCCTGAAAATTGCTGTTCAGTTGGGTGCCCGGCACTCCCTGTTTAGGATCCCCGCCACCCCTCTAATTCCGCTTCCCAGGATGCCTTGAGAAAAAGGGAATGGCTGTTCGACAAAGTTTGGGCGTGCTCCGTTTTACCTATGCACTCAAATTCTCCTCCAGTAATCCTTCTTGCCTCCTTCCTCTCTTACACATTCCCAGAAAGTCAAGACAATGGTAATCTATATCAGGGGTCCCCAATGAGATGGCTGTGGGCACTGTGGTTCCCGACACCTTTCTTGGCAACCATGAAGTCTTTTTAGAAAGTAGGGTTTCTGATTGGCTATGCAGGTCTGGGACGGGAGTCCCCAAACTTTTTGAGCCTGCAGGTGCCTTTAGAACTCTGACACAGGGCGGTGGGCACAATAACAAAACAGCTGCCACAAGAGGTGGCACCAGTCACAACATGGCTGCCTCAGGAGGTGGAGCCAACCATAAAACGTCAGGGAGCAAGGTTACGTATAACCCTAATAGTAACTCTTCCACAGAAGCTGTGTATAGCAGGATACTTTTCAAACTTCACAGCCAATCAGAAGCCTTGCTGGGCACACAGCTCACCTAGCCCAGCCCACTGGGCACCAGGAAAGCTTATGGTGGGCACCGTGGCACACTAGTCTAGGACAACGGGAAATCTAAACTGTCGGCATTCAGATAGTTTCTCTCTCTTTTGGAATGGAACACTAGTTTTGGTTTAAACAGCAGTCTACAATTATAGTCAGAAAGAGTGATGAAGAATTCTCCCAACCCTTTAAAAATGTATTTGATCACAATCCATTTAAAGCAAAGCAATTATGGATTTCTGTCAGAAACAACCCTGCTGCTGAAATCCAATTATTTTAAAAGTGGTGGGATTGGAGCAGGCCCTCCCTTACTGTTGCCAGCTTCCAAAGGCTGTTGTGAGCGCCAAACCTTTAAAAACGGGGAGAGGAGCATTAGCAATGTCAGTCCCATCTACACTACCAACTTTTATACCGGCTTTAATGATCATGGGTTCCCTCAAAGAGTCCTGAAAATTGCTGTTCAGTTGGGTGCCCGGCACTCCCTGTTTAGGATCCCCGCCACCCCTCTAATTCTGCTTCCCAGGATGCCTTGAGAAAAAGGGAATGACTGTTCGACAACGTTTGGGCGTGCTCCGTTTTGCCTATGCACCCAAATTCTCCTCCAGTAATCTTTCTTGCCTCCTTCCTCTCTTACATATTCCCAGAAAGTCAAGACAATGGCAATCTATATCAGGGGTCCCCAATGAGATGGCTGTGGGCACTGTGGTTCCCGACACCTTTCTTGGCAACCATGAAGTCTTTTTAGAAAGTAGGGTTTCTGATTGGCTATGCAGAGCTTTAAAAACACTGCTTTGGTGGCAGCTCCCACCACAGCACAAGGAACTTCACTGTGTGACTGAAGTCAGCAGCGGCAGCCATGTTGTGTCTGGCTTTGCCTCCTGCAGCAGCTGTTGTGTGGCAGCCATTTTGTGGGTATGCTCACTGTACTGTGTTAGAATTCCAAAGGTGGCCACAGGTTCTAAAAGTTTAGGGGCCCCTAATCTACACTAATGTTCCCTCTCTTGTATCTTTCCCCTCTCCCATAGTCCTGTGCTCTTATGCCCTTGCTGGGGGTGAGCTGCAAAAATAGGACAGCCATGTTGCTTTGAAAAACTTTATTCTAAGCAACTTCCTACGGTCCCCGAACTCATCTAGTGCATTACACAAGCATACAAACTGTGGCGTGTACTTCTACAGAGACACATTCTGGGCACACTTCCCTCATCAACAGTTGCAAAACATTTTAGCTAAAAATAAGCTAGGCCGGATCATTCAATCTCTCACATGGAGGCTTTCGGCAGGAGGTGCCTGATGACGTCCAACTGCAGACAGATTCCAAAAGTGCAGGAAGGCAGAGACACAACTGCTCTCTAAGAAACTCTTTCAAAAGTGGCTGTGGTATAAAGCGCCTGATATCCACAGAAAACAAAATGGATACTTTTGGGGGCAAATATTATTTACATTAAGTGGCCATAATTTGCCTTCAAAGAAGACAAGTTACGAAATAAAACAGCAGTTCTTACCGCTGGTCATTATGACAATACCACTGGTTATCTTTATCACATTCTGGTATCTTTACCATATTCTGATGTAAGCCGCCCTGAGCCCTACACGTAGGGAAGGGCAGCCTAAAAGTCCAAATAATAAATAAATAAATAATTCTGTCCACAGCCCTACATCAATGACACTTGGAAAAAAATAAAATGAAGACTAAAGCTAGAAGTGATCATCCTGTGAATTACGTGGCTGAGCAGCTGGATCTGAGTCCAGTAGCATCTCAGGGACCAACAAGATTTGGGGGAGGGGTATCAGCTTCCAGGAGTCAAAGCTCCCTTCGTCAGATACAAATGAAGGAAGCTTTGTCTCTCAAAAGCTCATGCCTCCCAAACCTTGTTGGTCTCTAAGGTGTTACTGGATTCGAATCTACTGCAGCCCAGAACAGCTAAGCCTCTGAAACTATCTTAAGGACTGAGCAGGGATTTGAGCACAGATTTCCATGGGCTGTTCGAGAAGGTAGTAAGGAGGAGGGAGGCTACAGGGAAAAGACCAATGAAATCACAAACAAATCTGTAGTCAAAACACGCTAAATAAATGCAACAATAATTATATAGAAAACAAAGTCAATGATAATGCCAAACACACACACACACACACATATATATATGTAGAATCATAAACATAATAAAGAGCAATTATCCAAAAGCGGGTGGTAACAAACTCAAACCCACCATAAGTCACAGCATATCTCCAAAGCAGCAAACCTCCTTCATAAACAGAACAAGCATACAAAGAAAATAATTGTTTATATAAACATCACATGTCCTTGAACTGAAGTTCAAACATCTATCTATTGTGGCTTGTAGTAAGTAAGATCCGTTCGAAGTAGAAGCTACGCAGTTCCAGATAATCAGCGTTTCAGACCTATTCCTTCATCAGGTAAATAAGGTAAGTCTTCAGTAACATACAATGAATACACATGTACAAGCAAGGTCCCGAACAAAATATTCCATTTAGGCACAGCTCCATATCTTTTAACAATTGCCTGAGAGGCAATTCCAACTTGTCGAATTGCTCTTTATTATGTTTGTGATTCTACAACAGTATATATACACGAGTCTGGCATTATCATTGACTTTGCTTTCTATATAATTATTGTTGCATTTATTTAGCGTGTTTTGACTACAGATTTGTTTGTGATCTCATCGCTCGAGAAGGTGGCAATACAGGGCAGGGGCCAATGAACCCAAGGCCAACAAGGGGCGGGGGGCTACCGAGAAGGCTTTCAAAACAAAACTATCGTATAGTCTCTACATTCCTCTTTGTTGTAACTAGGTTTGCCCAGCCAACTCTTTGGATTAATGCATAACAGGGGGAAAGTGTGATCTTCTGTAGATGGTACAAGAGACCGGACAGGTGCCGAAAACTGTGCTTTGGTTTATACTATGATAAGTTTGAGAGCGGAATTTTTTTAAAAAGGAGTTTGGTATTTGGTTAATCTTGTACATGTAAGTCATCTGGACTGCGCTGCTTTCCATTGGTAACACCCAACATTCGTCTTTAGTTAAAGAGGCCCACTAATAGGGGTCTTTCTCCAGCTCTTCTGCCCGCAAGCCTCCCAAGTGCTGAAACCAGCCCTATAGATGTCCCATGTCTACATCTCAGAGATGGGGGGCCACAAGAGACAGGACCCCCTGCCTAGTGGCCCCTCACATATGGAACTCCCTCCATACAGACACTCACCTGGCACCTGTGCTTTTATGTTCTAGGTGTCAGATGAAGATTCTTTTATTCTCCCAGGGTGTCTGATGAGAATTCGCTGTATGTTTGGCTGGGGCTGACTGGTATTTTTGCTGGCCTCTTGCTGCTTTTAATGTATTTTAAATCATCTACTGCTTCTTTTTCTGTTGGGCTTTACTGCACTGTAACTGAGGGGTGGTAAAGTGGGCACCCTGTACCTCTGGGCCTTACCAATGAAAACTGACTTCAACTCGTCAGTCAATTTGGAGTTGAGCAGATTAATCTACTGGTTAAAGAAAGTGGCAGTCCTGCTATAAATACCCCACTCTGTTTATCACAAGCAGTTCTTCCCGGAAGAGAAGTTCCTCTCCAACTGCAGCATCTCCTGTTTCTGTCATATGATGACCTTTCTAAACACAACACCTCGGAGGGGCAGGGTGTCTGTGGTGAGCTGGCTACAAAACGAACGTTAATTAGCACAAACTGAACAGTGTCTGACGGTGCCCATGTAAGCAGTCTTTACACAGCAGCCACAGCAGTCTGACACCCAATCAGGCAAACATCTACCTACTTCATACTAGCTAGGGGGTTTCCTGTCAGAATGCAACAAGAACTCTTTGCCAGTCACATCTCAGCAGCCTAGAGGCACTGAAGGAAAGCTGAACCAGTGCGCTTCCTGCAGCTGGGATCATGGGCTGCTTTTTTTGGTATACAGACACACTAGACGTTTCCTGAGCTTTTACCTTCAATGAATCCTTTTCACACTTAGTCAACTGCCAAAGAAGCCCTTTAGATCAGCTACTGAATACCTCAGCGCATTGCAGAAGATCTACCTTTTAACATCTCCAGCAACTGGCCTTTACCTCTCCCCCCAGGACTTGGCTACAGTGACCCATGCGATGGTCACTTCCAGGCTTGATTACCATAACTCACTTTATCCGGCTTGCCCTTGAAGTTGATCTGGAAACTCCAGCTGGTGCAAAATGCGGCGGCATGCCTGCTGACTGCGTGGCCTGTGCGGGCACACATTAAGCCAGCGCTACACCAATTGCAATGGCTGCCAACTGAGTAACGAATCCACTATTCAAGATACTGGTATTGACTTTCAAAGCCTTGTGCAGCCTGGGACCAACATACTTAAGGGACTGCCTCACTCCATATGTGCTCCAGAGAGCCTCGTGCTCTGCCAATCAAGATCTGCTGGCTTGACCAGGCCCTGGCCCTGGCCGGGTGGAACATGCTCCCGCGTGAGATCAAGGCCCTGCGGGATCTTCTATCATTCCGCAGGGCCTGTAAAACAGACCCATTCCGCCAGATCTTTGGTTGAGGTGGTAGGCGTCCAGTATAAAAGTCAGCCTCCCCTGCTGAAGACACCACTTCCACGCGGCCCGGATTAAACAAAGGTAGGGTCCAGCTGCACCAGTATCAGAAACTGCGCAATAACTGGGACAATCTGTTTTTAAATTCTTGGAAAACCACAACTCGCTTAAAAGAATCGGCCACCATTGTTTTAACCAGAGGTCATTTCGGGGGTCCAGTAAAAAAGTCAGCCTCCCCTGCTGAGGACACCACTTCCACGCGGCCCGGATTAAACAAACCTAGGGTCCAGCTGCACCAGTATCAGAGACTGCGCAATAACTGGGGCAATCCGTTTTTAAATTCTTGGGAAACCACAACTCGGTTAAAAGAATCGGCCATTCGGAGTTGGGACGTGCATGATTAAAAAAACCCCACCATTGTTTTAACCCCTTTACAGAAAATCGGGAAGGGCGTGTGAAGGTATCGTTTTAATAAAATGTCAGGAGTATCGTTATCGTTCCAGAAAGTCACTCCAGAAATATCAGAGCAATACTCCCAATGTTCTGTTAAAACTATCATACACTCACTGTTCACAGTGGAATTAAAATGGGGCAGGGAGGGAGAGAAAGGAAGACCCCCCCCACCCAGTAGACTGAATATTTCTGGAGTTCAGAGGCCAGGTCTACCCCATAGGAAATCCCGGCCCCTTAAAATGTAAAGGGCCCTTTGTGTTGCTGACCAGCTGTAAAGAGCTCCCCCCCTCCTCCCTAGACACTCCTGCCCTGCCCCTCAGTGGGATTTCCGATTCTGGTATCATCAGGAGTGATAATACTGGACTAGGGAATTGTGTCAGGGAGACAGCAGGCATACTAGATACTGCTGACCTGATTCAGAATCTGACATATCAGGCACGTTATTGGGTCAGCAATATTTCACTGTATACCCCTAATTTATAGTGCATCATGTAAAAAAAACCCCAGAGGAATGAGAGAACCATGGTAGTCAGAACTGATTTAAAACCAGATGAGTTCTGTAAATTTAAGTAACCTTTAATCCGCCTTTTTTCAATGACAGAATCAAGGTGGCTCAGTGTGAACGTTTACAAGTCCAAACTTGTAATATTAATCGCAGACCGAAATAAATAGGTCACATTACAAGCAGCAACGTTTACGGCCTTAGTTATAAGGATCCCATCAAAAACCCGCTGATGCCAGGGTGGTCGACGAATAGTGATCCTGCTCACGTTGGGTCTTTCTGTGCTATTACAGGATCGGTGGTTCGTTGTTAAACCTTGCCCTTTGTTACTAAGACTCACGTTTGCTACTTACATATTATGTTTTTATATCTTTTTAATGGATATTTTGTGGGCTCTAATGTGTGCCGTGACTACGATTGTTTAATGCTACGTCGCACTGTTTTTCTTAACGCTGTTTCCTATGGCTGTGAGCGAATGCGATAAAACTTGACTTGACCTGAGTTGAAAATGCAGCATTACAGAAAGCAATTCAAAATGCAGCAGTCTCCAAAACGGCAGGGTAAATACTAAGCTGTATCTGACAAAGGGGGCTTTGGCTAAATATTTCACTGTATACCCCTAATTTATAGTGCATCATGTAAAAAAAACCCCAGAGGAATGAGAGAACCATGGTAGTCAGAACTGATTTAAAACCAGAAGAGTTCTGTAAATTTAAGTAACCTTTAATCCGCCTTTTTTCAATGACAGAATCAAGGTGGCTCAGTGTGAACGTTTACAAGTCCAAACTTGTAATATTAATCGCAGACCGAAATAAATAGGTCACATTACAAACGGCAACGTTTACTGCCTTAGTTATAAAGTTCCCATCAAAAACCCACTGATGCCAGCGTGGTCGACGAACAGTGATCCTGCTCATGTTGGGTCTTTCTGTGCTATTACAGGATCGGTAGTTCGTTGTTATCTAAGTCTGGATAGCTCCGTCTGATCAAGTTCTGGAGGTGCTGAACCAGAACTCTCCCTCCCAAGGGGCACACTAGGAAGGATGGAAGCAGAGACACACACCCTCGTCAGCCAGAAGTGCCTCCCCCCAAAGAAGCCCACCTCCCGGTTTCTAGAAATACCGCTAAAGAACCTCTCACTGCCATTTCCCAGAAGACATCAGCTGGCTGAAGCATCCGAGATGTAGGTGCCTCTGGTCTCAGACACCTGCTTCCTTTTCTGGGGATGCCTTTTTTTTTTACCTCGTTATCAGATGGTAGGCACGCACACGGGCAAATACCTTGTGTTCTTCTTTCATCACCTGTTCGATGAGTTCGGATTTGACAGGTGGTTTGGAGTACTGCCCTGAGAGGAGGCCGTGTCCCAATTTAGCCCTGGGGGGGGGGAGAGAAAGAAGGCATAACATGTAAGAACATAAGAGAAGCCAGTGTTGGAACAGGCCAATGACCCATCCAGTCCAACACTCTGTCACACAGTGGCCGAAATACCCGGTGCCATCAGGAGGTCCACCAGTGCCCCCCCCAAGCATCTGTTTACTGCCAGGTTTAGAAGTAGGGGGTTCACAACAGGGTGGAATCCACCTGCCTGTTCACACACACACACATGCATAAATCAGGCACTCCACGTTGCCTAGCACATCTGTTTTCTAGCCAAGACCTGTACCCGTTAGGACACTGAGAGCCAGCGTCTTGCATTAGGACCTGGGAGACCTAGGGTTTGGATCCCTGCTCTGCCGCGGAAGCTTGCTGTGTGACCTTGGGCCAGTCATAAACACTCCAACTGACCTACCTCACCAGGCTGTTGTGAGGATAAAATAAAGGAGAGGGGAACAACGTAAGCTGCTTCGGGTCCCCATGGGGGAGAAAGGTGGGAGATAAAATTGAGTCCATGAATACTTATCATGGGAAAGGACTGCAAAAGACAATACCTACACATCTGTATGCCCACAATTTTGTACTTAATAATTTCTTAAAACATTTATACTGTGCCTTTCCTCTTGGTTCAAGGCAGCATACAGCTTAAGCATTAGAACGTTCAATATGCAGGGGGGGAAGTCATATGCAATATCATAAAACTGTACTCACTATGTATAAACTGAACCAAGCTTGAGTCCAGTGGCACCTTTAAGTGGCACCAACAAAGTTTAATTCTGGGTATAAGCTTTCATGTGCATGCATGTATATATCTGAAGAAGTGTGCATGCACATGAAAGCATATACCCAGAATTGAACTTTGTGGGCCTTAAAGGTGCCTCTGGACTCAAACTTGGTTCTGCTGGTTCAGACCAACATGACTAACCACCTGAATCCACATATAAACTGGAGTACTCTGGGAATACTGGGTCCAGGTCTTGCTATTCATTTACAGATCCTTATTTTTAAACCATTTGGAGTATACTTGATGTAACTTTGGTAAATGGGAGAGGGGGGCAACTTTTTGAGAACAGAACACTGGCTCAGCACTGGTGGAACGCGCTCCCGGAAGACATCAGGGCCCTGCGGGGCCTCTTACAGTTCCGCAGGGCCTGTAAAACGGAGCTCTTCCACCAGGCCTTCGATTAGGAGCCGCCACTGATGAATGAGCTATTAAAAACTGGACTATTATGGCCCTCATGCTACTGGCATTCAGAACAACTTTGGACACCGCCCTAGCTACATCGGATCACCTTAGAGTAATCACCATCTGCCCTCAACTGCGCTTGATGTATATCATCTGTTATATGGAATTTTTATAATATTGTATTTATGTATCTGTGTTTTATTGTATTCTAACCTTGTTGTACGCCGCCTCGAGCCTGCCTGCGCAGGCAAGGCGGGATATAAATCTAAATAAATAAATAAATAAATAAATACATTGCTCATAAAAATCCGCATTTAAAAGTTTTGCTGTCATTTGTTTGATGACAGCAACGCACTGACACGAGCAATGTCCTTGCGAAATTCTCCATCTCAGGAGGCCGTATTTCATTGTTCACCTGAATAAAAACTGTTGAGAGAAAAAAAAAATCTCCTCAGCCTCAAAACTGAGGTGAGGAAAAAACACAGAGAACAGCAGTGGAGATGATCTCTGTGGCGGCAAAAAGAGAACTGAGGGAGTAGCGCCCCTCCTCCTGGTCATGTGAGCGTTTTGGCGGGAAAGCGCCAGAGGGAGGAGGGGCGCTCCTAGTCTGTTAGAAAGCTTGGAAATCTTTTCCATGGCTGGCCTGCAACTGCGCAGTTTCCATGTGGGACTGCACAGAAGCCACGACAATGAAAATGTCCTTGCAAAATCCTCCATCCCGTCCTGGGAGGCCGAACAAAATAAGCACCCTGTGACTCTGCTAACAGTCTTGGCTAATAAGGATGGGCTACAGCAGGGGCCCCCAATGACTGACGCCTCCCCCTGGTGCCCCACATGTTTTTAGAAAGTGGGCAGGGCCAGACGGGGCTCCTGCCCAGCAAGGCTTCTGATTGGAGATTTGATTGACTCTGCAGATTTTTAAAAACAGTGTTCTGGCACAAAGATCTTCACTGCGTGACTGAGGGCGAGCTGTGGCCGCCTTTTCGTGGCTGGCTTTGCCTCCCGCGGCAGAGCACAATGTGATACAGGGTACTTCTGTGGATGCTCCCATTAAACAGCAAATAATACGTCTGTCAGTAACAAATATACCACGCGCACATCGAGCTTGGATTATTTGCCGCTGCAGTGTACATCCAAATAAAAATAAAATGTGCTACACATACCTGCTCCTGCAAACTTTGCTGTCAATTGTAAAACAAAAGATAGCTAAATGAGGTGACTGAAGGGTGGGGCCGTGGCTCGCTGGCAGAGCACCTGCTTGGCATGCAGAAGGCCCCTGTCGTATTTAGTTAAAGGATCAGGTAGCAGATGATGTGAAAGTCCTGTGCCTGAGACCCTGGAAAGCCACCGCCAGTCACAGGAGACAATTCAGACCACTGGTCTGTCAGAGTAAGTCTCGGTACATAAATTCACATGTTTATCTAGGCTACCAAGGCACCACGTAATGTTGAAGAATTTGAATCTGATTCAATTGTTCGCAAAAATCTGGTAAGAAACAGTAAAGGTAAAGGTTTCCCTTGCTCGAAAGCTAGTCATATCCGACTCTCGGGGGCGGTGCTCATCTCCGTTTCCAAGCCGAAGAGCCAGCGCTGTCCGAAGACGTTTCTGTGGTCATGTGGCCGGCATGACTAAACACCGAGGCGCACGGAACACTGTTACCTTCCCACCGAAGCAGTACCTATTTATCTACTTGCAATATCATGCTTTCGAACTGCTAGGTTGGCAGGAGCTGGAGCCAGAGACAGGAGCTCACTCCATCTGGGGTCTCAAACTGTCGAACTATAGACCTTCCGGTCTGCAGCTCAGTGTCTTTAACCTCTGAGCCACCGCGACCCCTTGTAAGAAGCAACCCCCTGCTTAATTTCAAACAAACAAACCCTGCCACTTACATCTGTGTATTAAAATCTTGGGTTGGGTCCAGAGGGGAATAGTCAAATATCCTTGGAAGGTTTCCCACGTACCTGTCCAGGGAGAAGAAGGAGGGTAAGAGGAGAAACGCTTGAGGACAAATCATTCATTTTGCTTAGGGGTCTTTTGCTGACTCAGAGACAGTCAGGGAAGCTCACTGATCAATACTCCTAATACATGAACATTAATTCCTCCTCACAGAGCTGATACAGCATTCTGTACTGTCTGCTAGTCCCAGAGCCCCTGTGGTATAGCTGTCTGAGGGTTGCGGCAAAATCTGGAAGACGCAGGTTCGAATCCTCATTCTGCCATAGAAGGTCACCAGGTGGCCTTGGGCCACTAAGAGAGGTCTATCGGGCACCTGCAGGCAGGCGGGTCAGCGTGATCCACGGCTCCTGGTCCAAAAGCAGTAGTCAGGGGGAGTGAGGCCTCTCCCCCACCCCACCCCAAAAATCCCCAGTAGCAAATGCAGGACTGACAGCTCTCAGTTTCTGTCCCTTCAGTTCAATTCCTAAGGGACCCACACAGACAACAGGGAGAAGGGGCAAGTATTTATCCTACAGTAATCTTTTATAACCTTTCCTCCCGACCCAGAGAGTCTCACCACTGCACATTCACACCGCTGCACATGGGGAACCTCTACACTTATTCACCCACCAAACTGATGGGAGGGTCCCTGGGGGGGGGAATAGAGCAAGCTTACAAGTGAGATCCAATTTCGTAAAGTTGCAGAAATTTTGTAAAGTTATAGAAATGCTGCTTTCATGTATGCCTATTCGAGTCACTTCCTACATTATGGGCTGGATATTTTTTTTTCCCCATCAGAAAAATTCACTCTCTGTTGGAAGGAAAACTTTCTCCCTTGAAGGACGACTTGGCAGAAAACAGTCACGGGATGCAACCCTAGGTTTTCAAATGCACACTAAAAACGTGAGAAAGTAATCAAATGCAGGCTGGCGAACGCTTGTATCATACAGCCGTACTCGTCAGGGTGTATCAGTTAACCGCGGCTCCTTGTTGGCTGTACAACCAAGCCTGCAGCTGGCCGCCACACTTATTTCTTGGGACTTCTATCCCGCCCTCCCCCACAAGCATGCTCAGGTTCACACATAATGTGTGAACAAGCCCTCTGTACTATAATGCAAGTTTCTAAAGGCTGCGTATATCCTAAGAGGTAGGAACTCAAATACCAAGTCACCCACACACACCAGCAAGCAAATACACAAATACAGACTTTATTTCAGCCAAGGCTGTGCAAAGTTGCGGTCACTGCAAAGACCCCCCGCCCCGCCCCCGTGACTTACGCTCTCTGAAATTCGGGGATGCTGAAAATGGCCTGCATGATGCTGCTGATGTAACAGCTGTTGCCCACATTTTTCATGCCAGTGTAGCCTGGGCCATACATCGGCTTCAGCTTCATACCAGATTCCTGGATCACTTCCCATTCAGAGACCCTGGGCTTCATGTCATTGTCCCTCAGGCTGTTCTCTGTCTAAATGCAAGAAGGGCTGTTTTTTAAAAAAAACAACAGTGATGTACAAATACACATTTCTAAGCCTGGGTGTTTAAAGAGGGAAGGGGAGGAAACGTTTGCTTGAAGGAAAGAAGGACATCTCAAAAAAAATTATACCTGTCTACATAGAAGTATTGACATGTCATTTCACACTTGCTGATAAATATGATTGTGTCTCCCCCTACTGAACCATTCAAGAAACTACTACCACCAAGTGCTGCTTACTCCGAGCAGCCTGCAGCATAGAAAAGTCACGGCTGTCTTGAAAAAGATTTCAGAGTTTTTCCACACCATTTTCACATGCATAGAGGGGAGAGGGCTATGGGGCTCAGTGGTACAGCCCATTCTCTACATGAAAAAGGTCCTCAATTCACTCCCTGAAATCACCAATCAAAAAGATTACAAGTAGCCTGAGATCCCAGAGAGCTGCTGCCAGCCAGAGTAGACAATAACAAGTAGATGGACCGCTAGCCTGACTCAGCGGACAGCAGCTTCACATGTCGCGTTAACTTTTGTGAGCCGAGTCCCGCCCTGACTCAGTTTTAGCAATCATTGATACTTTATTATGTTACCCGATGTTTCAGAAGGCAGCAATTCCCAACATTTTTGAGCCTGTGGGCACTTCTAGAATTCTGACACAGGGTGATGGGCGCAGCCACAAAATGGCTGCCACAGAAGGCGGAGCTATCCGCAAAATGGCTGCCACAGGAGGCAAAGCCAAGCATAAAAAGGCTGCCACGGCTTACCTTCCTTGTGCTGTGGGGATCAGCTGCTGCGAAAGCAATGTTTTTCAAAGTTTGCACAGCCAATTAAATCTTCAGTGGCCAGTTAGAAGCCTTGCTGAGCAAAATACTCATTTGGCCCGAACCACTTTCTAACAAAAATTTGGTGGGCACCAGGAAAGGTGCCAGGGGGCACCACAGAACCCACAGGCACCCCGTTGGGGACCCCTAACATAAGGCAACTTAAGTGGCAACATGATTCTATTTGTTATGAGCAGCTGAGCAACTGTGAATAAGAGACACTCACTTACCGCCTGCATCTGCAGCATATCAATCCCAAAATGCCCCAAGTGTTTAGCTATGTGTGGGTCCAACACTGGCTCCTCTTCATCAAAGGAATAGACGCCTGCGTAACAAAAGAACCAAAGGGGCAGCTCACCAAATGCTGCCTATCAATATTCCTGCACAATACAAAAAAAACTTTAACATCCACCTAACAGACTGAGGCATAGTAACTTCCCTCCTGCACACAGGCCAGCCTGGCTAGGAAGTAAATGTAGTGACTCAGTACAATATGTTCACCTCCCCAGTTTCCCCACATGACCAATGCTTTTGTTAGCAGCAAGGGAATGCTTGCTCTGCAATACCCTACAGACACTGCATCAACAACAAGAGCCAGTTCTCCCTAGCTTCACCACTGCCCAGCGGGGATACCGGTGGTGGGGTGGTGGGGGAGGTCCCACCATAACAGTGGCAGGCCTTTAAATTTCTCACTGATGCAAGATTAATCCATGAAAAAAGTGTTCCCCACGTTGCTTCTATGTAATAGAGGAAGGGCATTTTGGGGGGAAGGTTTGACAATTTTGGCAAAGGTGGTCTTCCGTGGGGGAATTTAGCTCAGCCAGTCTTTCCGGAACTGGGAAAGGGGACTGCGTGGAGAGCAGGATGCAGAGCACCCAATATAAGACTACGGAACATGCTATTGTGTTGCATCGAGACAGCTATCCAATTCTTACGTAGCCTGCTAGCTGACAGCAGACAGGATTTCCTAGACAGTACTAGTCGTCCACCAAACTAGTATTACCTAAACCCTCCCTGTGAAAGGCAGCTGAAGCCACACCTTCCAGTAATGTGGCATTACAGTGCATACACATGACAGTGTGTACAGGTAGATTTTAATTCCGGTTTGTTCTTAGTTGGCTTGCAAGAACCAAAGAGTCCACAAGATGGCACCATTAGTTTTGGGGGGAACTGTACTATTTGAGACGTGCCCACTGGCATGCTCAGTTATAACAGTCATTGCAAAACCTGCCCTGGGGGGAAAAAACCTTCTTTATTTGATTTGTGTATTGCTCTGTAACAAGGCTCTTGACAGTTTACAGTACAATATGCACACTGAAGTTACCATAAATCCTTTCTCAGAATAAAACTTCCATAATATACGTAACCAAAATATTGCACAAGGCTGTTTTAAACCCAGCAGTTCTCCAGATCACAAATAATAACAACAACAATAATAATCAAAATTAAAATAACTGCCATAAACAGACCATCTTTGCCTGCTTTTCAAAAGCCAGAAAGGAGGAGAACAGGTGAATCCGCCTGGGAAGAGTGTTCAGCAACTCACTGAACAGGTCTTAGATCCTCCAGAAGTTCACCGTTCCCTCAGATGACAAGGATGCTTAACTGAAGAGACCCGCTAAGAAATACCTCAGTTTCTGGGGAGGGGTATACAAGAGGAGGTGACCCCTCAGATATACACAACCATGCAGGCCTTTGAAAGTCGAAAACAGCACTTTGAATTTGTGAGAAAACTACCAATACAGCATTTTCAGGTGTGCCCCCCCAGCTCACTGTATTCAAAATTCTGACTGCTGTATTTTGAACCAGTTGTTGTTCCACAATAGCCTTCAAGAGCAGCCTCGTATAAATCGTATTACAGAAGTCAAATCTACAGTCATCAAAGCTGACACACTAGGCCAGGATGGGAGGGGGGAGTACTAAGTGTATGCTAACCCGTGAATCAAATGGGATGGGGGGGAGTGCAACCTCATTCAGAGTACGCCCCTCTACTTGAATCCAGGAACTTATCTACCACCCCTTTATAGTTTTATCTAGAATGCCATTTATTGGCCCTCAACCACACCTGTACAGAATCCAGGCATCAATTCAAGAACTCCACGGGTTCAGTGGAATCTGTGGAGACCTGGTGGAATGAGCTCCCATATGAGATCAGCGCCCTGCATGACCTTTTACAGTTCCACAGGGCCTGCAAGACGGAGCTCTTCTGCCAGGCTTTTATCTAGGGTGGTGGACGTCCTTCCCTCTCTACTGGGCCTCCCCTCAGTGGGTCAGAATTGTATTACCATCTAAGGACCAAATCTTGAAAGAGATGACATCTCTGAGGCTTTAACTATAAAATGTGAAGAATAATATGATTGTATGGGCTCAGAATCTAGGGCATACTATAAATCTTGAAGATTGGGGGCAGATTTGGGAGAAAAATATTAAAATGACTAATGCTATAACATATAAAGAGAATATGTACAAGATGTTCTATAGATGGTATACAAGGGGACTCAGCAGTTGTGGGGTAGGGCGTGGAACAGAAGTCTATGGAACCTCACCGAGTAATTCTGATGGAGCATAACTCAAGTCCCAGAGCACCATCTTCTGAAACCTGCCCGACACGCAAATAGGAACAGATGCACCGCATGACAACACCTCTCATTGCACAACCTACCCATTAGTCAAGAAGAATATCATGGCCAATAGCACAAGAAGCTATAAAGGGATCAAGGGCATGATTCCCTTGTCCGCCTCCTAGCAATGGTCATCTACCAGTGTTAAACCAGACAATTTCTTTCCTCAGACCAGATCTGAAACTACCTGGGCATGTGTCCAGGAAATAAGGTTCATCCATGAAGTGGCCAGTCACCACCTGTTCTATCACTTTCCTCAGAAAAAGCACCTTTGAGCCTGATCAGTAATTTTTGTGATCCAATAGACTGAAAGGTCCTCTCAAGAGGACCCGGGACCACTCCCCCCCTTCCCCTCAGGAGTTTTTTTAAGACTAACAAATTAGGCTACTTTTCCTCAGTTAGCTAGAAACATCCAAGAGGGGCAAAGATCTAGGGCCTTGTCCATGTCCTGAGGCCACAACGACTGAAACTCATCTAACATTGATAAGAGCAATCTGTGACCACCTCAGGTACATATGGCATCGTAACAAGGATTTCAAGTCAGTGTCAGTCAAGAGAGATTTTATTCACAAGGCAAATCAGTACAATGAGTTACTGAGTAGTCTGCATTACCCAAAGAAGACCGAAATTAAGTCATGTGGAACCTGGGATATCTTCACTGGAGGACTAAGTGGGGTGGAGAAATAAAGAATGTATTCCATCATCACCAGTCAGAGAGCAGATAACAACATGAGCTCTAACCTGCATTTTGTCAGACTCAGCCTGCATTTCCACTCCACTGATCGCCCCAATGTTTTAATGAACACTTATTACTTTATTGTGCATTTTGTTCAGGGAGGAAAGGGTAACATTTATGGCTGGTTTTTTATATTAATTTCCAGGATGGACTTTTCTCAGGACTGTATCAAAATTTAAGGAGCTGCAGTAGCTCAAGTGGTTAAGATGCTGAACTGCAGGCTGTGGAAGGTCAGTAGTTCACCAGTTTGAGACCCGGGTGCCGCATAATGGAGTGAGCTCCTGTCTCTAGTTCCAGCTCCTACCAACCTAGCAGTTTGAAAGCAAGAAATTGCAAGTAGATAAATAGGTACCACTTCGGTGGGAAGGTAACAGTGTTCCGTGCGCCTCGGTGTTTAGTCATGCTGCCGGCCACGTAACCACGGAAACGTCTTCGGACAGCGCTGGCTCTTTGGCTTTGAAACTGAGATGAGCACTGCAACCATGGAGTCAGATTCGACTGGCTTTCGAGTAAGGGAACCTTTACCAAAATTTAAATTGGGCCCCTAAATCAGGATCACACCACAAAATTCTCAAGACCTGAAAAAAGAAAGCTTTAAAAAAACATTGGGATGTCTGTTACTTTTTAAAAATCTAATAATATATGATGCTTTCCCTCATAGATAGGGTTGACAACATCCAGGGATAACGTGGATCCTCCACTATTAAAACTGATCTCCAGACAACCAAGATCAGTTTCTCGAGAGAAAATGGCCGCTATGGAGTGTGGACTCGATAGCATTATAGTCCCTCCCCTCCCCAGGCTCCACCCCCAAAACCTCCAGGTATTTCCTAACCCAGAGTTCACAGCCCCACTCATGGACAACAGTAAACCCAAAGTGTATGCTAATAGAGGTGAAGCCTTCCACACCACTGTCTGTCTTTAGTTCCTGGTTCAACACACTGGATAGTGAGCATGTGATAATGGATTCACTTGGACCACATCCATGAAAACTGGGCGAGTTTGGCCAGTCGCTCCCTTATTCTCTGATTGTTAGAACATTCCCTTTTTATCATTTATACTGCTGTGAAGTCCTTGGCAGAAGGAAGTGCAACTATCAGGGCTAAACACACGTGACAGCACCAGTGGGGATGACAATACTGTTTAAAAGTCTTCACTACTGTTTCACCACTTGAAAAGGCATGTGGGGGAGGGGGGGACACACGACAAGATCTCCTGGTCCCACCATGACGTGGGCTCAATCAGAATTGGGCTCTCATGTCATTTTAAAATGTCTGAGTTTGACGCTAAAATGCCTCCACAGGTCAAACCCGTGGATGACACAGCCTCTAGTTGGGCCCCCAGTAACTTCTTGCATGCTTCCACTTTTCCTTAGTATTTGTCTAAACGGCAGAGTCCAACCCATCACTGGGATGTCAATGGATTTGGGTTGTGTTGGCTTGTTTATTTTTATGCCCCCCTCCTGCAGGTTGCTGAGCTACAGTATTCCATGTGTCAGACAAGCATCTCTGACCTCTGGCAAGTTGGCTTGGCTTGCTCTTTTCGTGCCACGGACAGCGGTATGTGGCTGTTCCAGTGCGCACGTGGTTAAAACTGAAAACTGATCCCAACTGAGAACAGAGAGTTGAATTAGTTTGGAAACAGGGGATTAATAACACTTCATGTTTTCCCTGTGGGTCTTCGTGATCAGATGTGCCTTGAGACCTCTGTGCTTAGAACTCAGTTCACATTTGTTAAGGTGCTTTATGCCACAGTGGGGCAAGACCTGTGACGGACTGTGCTGTAAAAGCTCATAAGTGCTGTGTAACCATGTGAAGGGCTGTCAAGGGTTAATGCCTCACAGAGCCAGAGAGCCTTGAGTGACAGGCTGCTCAAAGGAATTTGTTTGGTTAGTGTCATTTGAGCAAAAAGACTTGGGAACTGTCTGCTGAAGAGAACTCACTTTAGCTTTGACTGAGAACTGCAACC